TATATATATATAATGGGACCATACATCTTACTTTTCTAATTCCTAAGTCTTGTATGACGACTCTGCTGGCGAAATCACATTTTATTGGCCTGTCACGGTCAATATTTACTCAGGTATTTTAAACAACTTCAGCTATTATGATAGTACTACGACTACGAATGTGGAGCGCTGTAAATGGGGATACAAGGCTTGATATTTATAGAGCCCCAGGCGTTATCTACTTTATATATTTTCATTGCTTTCTGTCTCACACATCAAAAGGTGTAGATACCTAAGTGCATGTGTATCCCCTTTTTTAACCCCCCCCCCTCCCCCAGGCAAACAAACACAAACACAAATACCAAAAACAAAACAGGCGTTTAACACAACCTCTGAAAGAGAGATAAAGAATTTTGATAAAAACGTTAAGCAAAATTCGGTCAGATGCAGTCGACTTAAGACGATTTTGTTTCTTTCAACTTTATGTCCCTTAATAAGTCGGTTTGTGTATTTGTTTTCTTATCTGTGTACATTGTCATCTATTTGAACGCTGGAAGGGCTGAAGGGAACAACATGCGTGACAGAGGCCTTCTTTGGATGCTATGAACTTTTCTGTTAAACTAGAGGCGAGCTAAAGATACAGCAGTCCCGAGATACCCCTCCCCCCCTCAAACACGCCTGCATTCAAGTTGAAAATGTCAGCTCTGAAAAGGTTTTGAGAAAAGACTTACTTTTATACTTACACAAACGAAGTAACCGCTAAGTTGTTTTTTTTCATTTAAGTAAGGGTTAATTTCATGATTACACGTCCGGTGGCCTTACCACTAGGCTACTGAACCCACTCGGAAATCTCTAATGTTGTACCAATCCTACTTGCAGAACTACATCAACTAGTTGGTGGCAACACCATTAGCGTCAATAGACGCAGCAGAGGTAGCGGCAAGTAAGTAAGAAGGGTGTTGGTGGTCTTATGGTTAGGCTCTCGGACTCCCACCCGTAAGGCCGTTGGTTCGAATTCCTTTTGGGGTCCGACTCTGTGTTCTTTGGAAAGGTACTTTATATGACTTTCCCTCACTTCACGCAGGTGGGAATGGTACCCAGATATAGACGGCAAAAGATCTGATCTTGTCTTTTTGTGTCTGAGCGCTGAACCGGCTGCTTGCACTGTTTGCTTCCCTAAAAGCTGAGAATGTTTCTGAGTGTTTGAGGGTCACCTGGAGTAATAAAAGTTGTAAAGCGGATAGAGCATGCTGCTGAGTGTGGAGAAGCACCGTATAATTGCAATTGCTATCAAAATTACTAACAATAGTAATAGAGAAACAACAGTTGCAGTGACTTAAGAAGAATCAGGAGCAGAAACAGCTTCATCAGCATCTGCAACACTTGTCTACTTTTTGTGTAATCGGAAAAAATGTAACATAATTTTTATTCTCACCTCACTTAAGCACCCTGTGAAGACAGATGAACTGAACTTACCTCTTAAAACTCTTCTGATAACATTAAGTACCATATATCGTTTGAGCATTGTTTGTTCGCAGCCACTCTAAGCTACAAACGATAATAAAGTATAGGCGTGTTACTGAAGTACAAAACTATATATTATTTCACTCTTGGTTAAACAGTTAAATGCTTATCAAGCTGAGAGATTTTTTTTCCGCTAACTTCTTGGTAGACGTTCACAACCGTACAATTTTCTTCAATTAAATTACGACTAACCATAACCTCTCCGCTGGTTACCACAAAGCAATATATCGGGTGATGATTTTTTCTACTCCACCCTTCTGCCAACCATTATAGCGGAAAGTTATCTGTGTAATCAAACCCCTCTCCCATCCCCACTTTAAAGATGTTCTCCTCGTCTCATTTTATGAACTACTACTACTACTACTACTACTACTACTACTACTACTACTACTACTACTAC